CAGTAATTACAAAGACTCAGACTTCACGTTAGAAAAGTAAAAACCAGAGCCCCCCTCCCCCGGGAGGGGGGTGCCAGCCCCTTCCCTGCACCCACAGGATGTGGAGAGCAGGGCCGCCATGGCGGGATGGTCCAAGCTGGATGATGGCAGTTAGCTGCCAGATAATTACAAGCCTTTAATGTCACAGGGTCACAACCCGAGTACTGAATGTGGAGGACAGGAGCAGGGGTTAAATACGGGGCCGGCCAGCCGGCCAGCCTGGCCGAGGCTGGGACCCGGAGTGTATGCGTGCGTCTACGTGATCAGCTCAGGGGACGGATCACGGGGTCTCCACGTGAGGGGCTGCGCAGGAGGGGGCCTCCAGCCCCTGCTGCCCAGCTTCCTGGCCAGGAGAAGGGCCAGCAGCAGGAGCTGAGAGACTCGTGGGAGATGGGGCACAGTGGACACTGCAGTAGGGGCCAGTGGCACTGTGGGTCCTGGTCCCTGGCTGCAAGGCTTGGGACACTCCTGCAGCTGAGCCCCGCAGCAACTTAGCAACAAGAAGGTCACACAAAACCTTCCTGTGTCAAGCCTGGGTAGCTTTGGAGCCCAGAGATCCTGGACGCAGTCTTGGTGGGCAGCAGCTACTTCCCAGCCCCACAAGGGGGCCTAGGGTCCCAGGGGGTGGGCGGCGAGATGTTATAATTTATTAATAACATGCAATACTCAGCAGGCTATTCGTTTGGGGTTGAAAAAGATAATTTTCTGAATATCTGTTAAACATGAGTTCTACTCTATTATCTCAAAGACCTTAATTGATGTTCTTAGGAAAATTTATATTAAAATATAAATAATAAGGACATCTCAATCATTACCTGACCTCTTCTGAACTCAATATAGTAAGATATTATTTAACTATATCCACACTTATGAAAATGAAATTTACTGATCTTAAAGTTGCTTTTCATGACCATTTTTCACTTAGATGTGTAAGTAGGAATAGATCGCTTGCTATGTTTGTATGCAGGTTTTTAACATTTCGTTTTAGGATTCTGATTAAATAGACTTTACAAATGAGTATAGAACCAGGGTTTCTCACATTTTTGCTTCATTAAATTTGTTTTTAAAAATTTATTCACATGAAAGGAAGACTTTAAGATTATGATTTAAAGTTTGAAGTGAACTAGGCATGAGTTCAAATATATAAAATACCGTTTAATTTTTAGCTGTATGGCTTCCCTGTTAGGCCTGAGTTTCTTCATCTGCTTAGCAAGAATTTATTTATACAAAGAAATATATATCTACTAAGCAAATATATAGCAACATATATTGCTCTGCATAAGTCAATTTCAAAAGGGTACATGACTTCGCTAAAAGATTATTTATTATAAAGAAAAATTCAAACTTCAAGAGAATCTCGAATATGCTAAAATCTCTTCAACAACTATCCAGGGGGTAGAATTGCATAAGCTTTAACCTTGAGGAAAAGATGGTTTTGTTCACGGCATCACCTCATGAAAATGAGTGAGTCCTCATGTCCCCTCTTTTGAGTCTTCTTCTCAAGTCTGGGAGACTCTACTTTTAGAGACTAACCTCAAAATTCCTAGGTTTGTAGTTCAATCCTTCATCTACTTTCGACTTATCTTTCTTAAACCTCCTTTCATTCCTGGTTAGAGGTTAGTAGATGTTTCCTCATGGCTACCAATTTTGGTCACAACACTCACATATCTAAATATTGCCATTAATTTTGCTTATTAATCTCAGAAGACTTAGCTTCACATTATGCTCTATGACCCTATAACTAGGGCTATAACTAAATAAAGACACTTAGATAAAACTGAACCAAT